ACCCAGCAATTGCAACTACCAGCTGATTGGGGCATTGGACGGTGCCAGGCCCTGTACTTGCTAGCACATACAAGAAGTTTCTTTGGAGATCTTCCTAATCTAAATGCTGGACTCGGAACCCTAACCAAGACAAGACAGAAGACAGAACAGGTCAACCAACCATCTCAGCTATGATGAACTATGTCAATCAGTGGAGTTTTCAAAAACCTCATAGTGCTTGGAGTGGCAAGATTGGCAGCGATTCATGACTGTTGCAATATCAAAACCACTTGAGCAAGAACCTCAGAGCATGCCCTACATCCGGGACCTGGGGAGGGTGGGAAATTGGGTGGGCCTTCTCCCTTAATACCCCCCTTTAAACATGAAGGAGACAATATGAAAAGCATACTAGTATTATCCACTTTCCTGTAGCTCTTGAACCTTCTTACCCTAATTAACTATGTAAAGATTGTCAAAATAAAAAAAATTTTTTTTAAAATGATCTTGCCCTAAGTCCCTCTCCATCACACAACCTCTCTCCATTTCAAAGTAGCCAAGCTCCTAGAAAAAAAAAAAGAAATCCACACATTCTACCCTCACTTTATCATCTCTGCACAAACTTCTACCTTCATAGTTCCCAAACATAAATCCATGCCTGAACAGATGCCCAAAGGCACTAAATACATCCCTGAAGCTGAACTCATCCCCAGATTATGAGGGTTTGGATCCAACTTCTACTGCTTACTGGCAGAGTGACTTTGAAAAAGTCTGGAATCTTTTTCATTTTCATTTCCTCATTTGTGAGCCTCCAGAACTTCAAAGGGCCTGAGTTATTACCCAATTTGCAAACAGCAAGTTAGTCAGTCACCATCCCATGAATGCTGATAGATGATATGAAAGTGTTGGATCAGAGACAAAGAATGGTCTATGACCAACAACAACCACAGTAGCCAGTTTATCAGCACAGTTTGAACCATTTCCCTGAGCCCAGTTTCCACAGGGTGATACAAAAAGGGCCAGTTGATACAGCTTAGGAAAACTGCCCTTTGCTCCAAAAACAGATAACTACTCTGAAGGCCATTTGCTCCATGCATATCTTGAAATGATAGCCCAGAACAAATGGTTGGTGTCCTGCTCACAAGAAACTAAAAAATACAAAATGAAGAAAATGATATTGTAGCTAACTCACCAGGTTGTTGTATTGACATGTTACTAACAAGCTTTAGAAAAGAGTTGAGCACCCGATATGCCCTAATGTTATTTCATGGCTGTCTCCCAATATTCCTCTAGTTTTGGGTATATATTATTCATCTCTATTCACTTGCCTTCTAGCTCTCTGCTTGTGGCCTGGGAAAGCAGCGGAGGATGGCCCAAGACCTTGGGACTTTGTACCTACATAGGAGATCCAGAACAAGCACCTGACTCATGGCTTTGGATCATCTCAACTCCAGCCATTGCAGCCACTTGGGGAGTGAATCAGCAGATGGAAGATCTTTCTCTTTGTCTTTCTTTTTCTCTGTAAATATGCCTTTCCAATAAAAATAAATAAATCTCTTTTTTAAAAGGAAGAGGTGCATAATTTCCCCCAAAAAGATCCTAGGCAGCTTGAGAACTTGATTCAGACAGTGCAGAAGATAAAACACAATGGCATATTTATGGCCATTTACGTTGAAAATTATGTTAATATGTTTCATGAAAATTTACATTTATATTGGGTGACTACTAACCTCCTCCTATTACGGCTCTTGGCAATTTCTTTTGCACGAAGACGATACTATTGTCATCTGTCTTACTTCTGAGAGAATAAGCAACTGAACATTTCTTTCATGAATGAGTTTTCACTTCAGCCAATTCTTTAAATCACATTCTGTAAGCAATCTTCATAGTTATCATGCCTATTTGGAGACTTCTCAAACATTCTTAAGACTAGATTCTGGAATTGGAAAGTTTTAGAACATCAAAGTAAATCAAGGATGAAGACAAATTTCCCAATATGTATATAAAAGGAATTGGAGAGGGAAGAAGGGAGTGATTGTGCCTCTGTGTTGGATGTAATGCATCATTTCCATCAAGAATATCACACAGTGATAGTGGGTTCTTCCCGCTTCATACCATTAGGATCTCTCTTCATTCCATTACAATTTGGTGGTTGGTTATTATTGGTGATATTAACTTATATCACTTGATTAAGCTAATGTCTGCCAGGTTTCTCCATAATTAGTAGACATTTCATAGAGAGATACTTTGAAACCAAACAGGCATCTTGTTCCTCATCAATTTTTTGACTTATTTATTTATTTATGTAATTATTGGTACATGGTTCCATTTATTCATTGAACTTTAACCCATGACTGGCACCAAGATATGTCTAGATATGTCTTGGCACCAAGACATATCTGAAATACATCATGTGCTTTGTCTGCCCCAGCCCTGGAATTGGCCATGTCTCTAGAGAGCCCTGGCTGTATTTAGTGACAAATGGTTAGAAATAGAGATGCTAATGCTAGATACACTCGTTGCTCCTGGGGTGGATACCCTCAAGCCCTCCCAGGTGACAGAAGTAAGAGTATACAGGTGTTCGCACATAAATGCATGCGCCTTCACCCACTTGATATTATTCCTAAATCTACCCATAATATGAATTTACAATAATATCTCTAATACCAAACCAACCAGAGAGTTCATCTCTTTTCTGCCTTTCCATGTTTGCAACTCTCTTCTCTAACAATGAAAACGTTGCTCTTATTATCCTCGGGATCCTTTTTGAACACCCTTCCAGGTTTTATACGCAGGCCAAGTACACAGGTAACCTTTCCATCTTCTCAGGCCCCAACTGCCCTTCCCTGCAAGGTTGCCCTCACATGTTCATGCCCTCTTTACACCTCCTGACCTCTGACACCAGGCACAGGGCTGCCTCAGGAATGTAAGTCCCACTCTGCTTGGGATCAGACAGCAGTGCCAGATCCCTGTCACCCTGTCTCTGTACTCTGCTCAACTTCCAACACCCTGCCTGCATGCACATCCGCCAAAACTGGTTCTGATCCGGATGTCCCACTTGGGGCTGCTGACCTGCTCCACACCATCTCCTTGACGGGTGAGTAGTTGCTCCAGAAGGAACAAACACAGATGAGGAGAAAAAATAGCAATGTTCTGCTTCTTAACATGATAACTTTAGTTTCAGAACTGAATGAAAACTCTTCTATAAAGAGGGATATGGCCCTTTAAGTAAAGCTGTTACAAAAGTTTTATACTATTAGGAACAACTCAAACAAAATGCTATCAGATTCAAATTCAGGATATAAAAGTCACAAGCGAGCAGTTCAAGGTACAATAGTTGCTAAAAACCAAAATCTATTTATCCATTTTCTATCTCTCTCCTTCCTTCTTTACTCCCTCCCTCTCTCTTTCCTTCCCTTCTCCCATCCTTTCTTTCTTTCTCTTGGCACAGTACAAATTGTTTCTAACCCAGAACAGAGTTTGTGCTGTCACAGTGGTCATGTAGTGCACCATTCAGAGTCTCTCCTGTTTCAAAGAGAATGAGGAGAATTGGAGGAAATGAGGATTCCAGAAGGATAAACCTGGACTCTGTGAGTAGCCTGGGTAAGGTCCCATGCAAATGAGGCTTGTAGGTAGCTGGAAGAAGAGACCTAGAATATCCTGAGGGCTTCGCACATGGCTCATTGGCTTAATCCTCCGCTTGCAAGCGCCAGGATCCCAGGTGGGCACCAGTTCATGTCCTAGCTGCTCCACTTCCCACCCATCTCTGTTTGTGGCATTTGGAATGGAAGACCCAGAGGAGGCTCCTGGTTCCTGGATTCAGTTTGGCTCAGCTCCAGCCATTGTGGCCATTTGGGGAATGGGCCAATAAACAGAAGGTCTTTCTGTTCCTCCTTCTATGAATCTGCCTTTCCAATATAAATCAATAAATCTTTTTTTAAAGGAAGAAAAAGAAAACAGGGTGGAATGCAAGCATTTCAGTTAGGGGTATTTTAAGACATATCTTACATATATTAAAAACTGAATGCAGTTATTAAGGAAGACCCACACACACACACACCAGATTATAACATGTTTCATTTGTTATGATACATCCATCAGAACTAGATTTTTGCTTTTACCTGTGATGAACTAGAAAATGTCCACCAACTCTTATACCAAGAGCAACTAGAAAAGTTGGGACAAATGCAAAACTTACCTATTTGAAGGCACTGGGTTACTAAAATAGCCAGGAATGGGGAGCCTAATGTCCTGTCTTTGAGAGTCCCCCAGATGTAGATCCCAAGAGAAAGCTTGGGATACAAGGTGATTCCAAGACATATTGTGAGGGAAGTGGGAACATGAAATCTGGAAGAAAAGACCTTGAAAAACAGTGCTGGCTGTAACCATGTTTCTACTTGGAGTCACTGGAGCTGGAGTCCACAGATGAAGTTCAGGAACCTCATGCCTCAGAATTATCCCACCTAAAGGGTGAGAGAGCTCAGGAATTCTACTCCAAATGCTTTTTATAAGGTCTTCAAGAAAAATGCGCAATAACACCATAACAAAGAAAATCAGAGGACAGTCTGTCTTACCAACAAGGTAGGTGTCAGAATCAGAAATAAGACATTAAGCAATCAAATCTAGCTACAGGCTATATCACATCCTAATGAGGCTCATTCAAAGTACACAAGACAAATTTATACTTGAAATTGATCAATGTAATTTACTGCATGATCAGAATAAGGAAGATTAAATATATAATCATTTATAAAAGATGCAGTTGTGGGGTGTCACTGTGGTGGCTCAACTGGCTAATCCTCCACTTGCAAATGTCGGCATCCCACATGGGTGCCAGTTTGCATCCTACCTGCTCTATTTCCAATCCAGCTCTCTGTTAAGGGCCTGGTAAAGCAGTGAAGGATAGCCCAAAGCTTTAGGACCCTGCATCCACTTTCAAATAAGTACATATTAATTTTTTAAATACTACCAGGCTAGAAATGGGTAGATGGTTAACTCATGTCATGATGTCAGCAGACCCTTACATGTTAGTCTAGGTGGAGATGGAGCAAACAGAAGTATGTCAGTCTTCTCAGAAGTGTTGGTGGTCCAGGGGTGAAGTGCCACTCCAGCAGCAGAGCCTCCAGAGTTAGAGATCAGCTCAAACCAATTCCGTTCCCTCAGTGAGGGTGCCATCTGGTGGAAGAAATAGGTAAAGAAAACAGCAGACGTATTAGAAAACGGAAATGCAGTTGGAGCAACACAATCTCATTTTAGAGCTGCACTGCCCATATAATTCCTGTTAACTACACGTGGTGATTGGATTTAAATGAATTAGAATCTAAAACCTGGGTCCTTAAAGCATGTTAACCACGGTTCAAGTGCTCAAAAGCCATGTGTACTAATGGCTACCATACAGGGCCACACAGACATAGAATATGTTATTGGGGGAGGCAGTAGGGAAGGGTGGAAGGAAAAATCCCTCAACCTAAGGAGCTGTATAATGAAAAATAAAGAATTAAAAAAAGGAAATGCTGGGGGGGTGAATCCCAGTGCCTATAAAACTGTGTCACATAATGCAATATGTAATTGATTAAATAAAAAAAGAGAAAATGCTGTTATTCTGAAGTCATATCGAATAAACTTCAATTCTTTCAAATATATATGTATTTGGGCTGTCAATTATATATATATATATATATATATATATATATATATATATATATATATATATAAAATTGGAAAGGCAGATTTACAGAGAGGAGAAAGATCTTCATCTGCCGGTTCACTCCTCATGTGATTGCAACAGCCAGAGCTGAGCCAATCTGAAGCCAGGAGCCAGGAGCTTCTTCCAGGTCTCCCATGCAGGTACAGGGTCCCAACATTTTGGGCCTTCCTCGACTACTTTCCCAGGCAACAAGCAGGGAGCTGGATGGGAAGTAGAGCAGCCAGGACATAAACCTGCACCCAAGTGGGATCCCAGTGAGTGCAAGGTGAGGATTTAGCCACAGAGCCATTGCACCAGATCCAAATGAGACTTCAATTCTTAAGAATTCAGAGATGTCTTTTTGGTGCTTGAGTTGACTCTTGACAGTATTTAGACAAGCTGTGGAGAAGGGACAGTGGATTGAATATTACTCCAAGAAAAGAAAATGAACATGTCAAACAATAATAAGAGATGAACTTGGAAAATCAGGCAGAAACAGATCACTCAGCTTGTATGCAAATGAGCTCAGGCTTTATCCATAAGTAGGTGGGCCCCTAAATTAGCTCTCAGTTCAACTCAGCATTAACCGACTTACGTAACATTACAGCGGCAGGGAAAGAGAGTGTCAGAACCGCATCTGGATCCCTTTGTTGCTCAGGATCCCCTTGCCTTCACTGGGGAGGCCAAGGTCTCTGCTGTCCCCACTGACAATGATGTGCTAAAGCTGGCTCACGCCAGATAATAGCATGTGTTCTCAACTCTGTGACAGCCTGAAAACCATCATGACAGGAGTATGTATGCCCTAGGAATTGGAAAACATGGTGAAGACCATGAACAGGACTATTTTGTTTTTCAAGAAAAGCTAACTAACCAGTACATTGCCAGCTTCCAGTTGTACCCATGGAGTTGCTGCTAGGCTGGCTTCTCAGCTCAGTTCAGGTCAGGTGGTGGAGGTGGGCATCCCTCGATGTTTCAGTCTCACTTTGGCCTACAGTACCACTTATGGACCCCCTGGACTCTCCATCGCCTCTTTCCAAGGGACTCTGGACCTAGAATGCACACTTCCCTTGCCTTTGCCATGGTGGATCCCGGGCAACCTTCTGGCCCTCAACTCACCAGACCATGTGAAGGTGGTTACACAGGGCACAGGGTGACTTACTGTAAATCTTCAGCTTAACAGACAGAGGTCTCAGTACTACTTTCCAATTGTGCCTGGTTTTCCCCTGGATGATAGTTTGGTAATGATATTTACCTATTGAGTGGTGCTTAATATTCCCTTTTAGCCTAAAATATATTACAGTCCTCTTTTTTCTTTCAATTGGCATAGGGAGTTAGGTATTTGCAGTTGTAAATTCTGAGACTTACCACAATTTTTGCTTTATTAAAATGAAACAACACATATAAGAGTCAAAGTGATATAGATATATTTAGCTCTCAGATTCTAGAATATAGTGATTGCAAAAGAGGGACAGGTCACCAGCAAGACCACTGAGGACAAGGCCTCATGAACCCTCCAAATCCCCCCTCACTCCTCTTTTTGTGAGATGTGGGCTGTCAGAATAAATATGGCAGAATAGGGTAAGGACACATTCAAACGGACAGAAAAACATTTAATCAGGATGAAGCAGAGAGGACTTATTCTAGGAAATGGGAAGGGACAGAACAACAGCAGAGGGGTACCTGCAGACTGACAGACACAGGAAGGCAGCGGACACAACAGTGTGGTGTTGCAGTGACTGATACTCCAGCGACATTCAGCTATCAGCGATCTGAACTACACCAGCAGCTGGAACTCCAACAGCAACCAGGTGGGAAGGGACTTTCACTGGGAGCTTGGGAGGTGAGCCCAGACAAAGAGATGTGGACTGTCAGTGTGATAAAGTATGGGAAGAATCTATGAAAAATCAGCAATATGCAGCTTTAAGCTATAACTCCTGTCAGGATAGACTCCTTCCAGCCAGTGTAGAGCAAGCTCTGTGACCCCCTGAAAATTCTCCAGTGGATACTGCCTGGTCAGACTGTGACCGGGAATCTGCCAGGCAAACCTCTGTGTCATCTCACTCCATTGCCCTCCAACCTTGGAGGTTCCACCATGGAGAGGGATCCCAGGCCCAAGCCAATGATACAACTAAAGTGTACATCACCTACACAAAGCCTAACCTTACATCTAGCGGCAGAGAAAAGAGAGATTGATTTGGGGTTTCCTGTTATATGTGATAGTATAATTGAAGGTGGGACGCTATGTTGAGTAACCCCAACATGTCCAGATAGGGAAGAAAGAAAGTTCTTGAAACCTGAAAAGACTGGAAGAAAACAGAATGATCAAGGACCAAAGAAAGAGTGGAGAAGGTTGAGAAGAAAAGAGGTGGGTAGGAAACCCGTGGGAAAAGGCAGACAGTTGCAATCAAAGACCTAAAAATGAAAGTGAAGTCTTGGGTACTCGTTTCCTGTGACAATACAATTGAAGATCAGACCCAGGAAGCAAGTAGCTAGAAAAAGCTATAAAAGAAAGTTGTCAGAAGTTCAGGACCTCCAAGGTCACAGTCTAGGACGGGAAATCTAGAAGATACCAAAGTATCCTAGATGTGTTAGTGGGAAGAGCTCGTCTCTTCTTCAGTGGGAAGAGCAGAGCTCGTCTCAAGGCCTTCAGTGAGCAGAGAGTAAAGCTCCAGCTTAAGCTCCCATGGGTGGCCCTGAGAGACAATGAGGGTGAGCACAGGACTTAAGAAAAGGCTGAGGGGAGTAGGGAAGGAAGGGAGTCAATGCTTCCTCCTTCTCCCCTGCCTGCTGGGGCTCCTTGGGTGTGGAGATGGAATCCATAAGATGCAGATGAGTTTGCAAAATTGGAATAGCCATTGCAAGCTGTGCAGAGGGAAGGAGGATTTAGGATTTGGGGGATGGAAGATCAAGGAAAACAGCCTGGTTGGAAGAAGTGGGTGCCTAAAAACTCATCCACCAAAATGAATTATCTTTGATGTAAAATTTTAAAGACCAAAGTGAACGTTTTAAAATCCTTGAGGAATCCAATATCAAAATGCTAGATGAATATGGGTAATTTGTGCTAAATCCTTGAGGTTTTTATGCAATAAGAACAGTCACTGCTATTCAGTCTGCTGTTCCCAGGCCCAGTCTGTCAGGGTCTGTCATGGTTGATGCTGGCATGCAAACACACAGAGCAATGCAATCTACTTGAGAAACTTTACAGAATGTGGAAATATACTATGAAAATATATGTAGGGTGTTCACATCTATTTCTATCTGTCTGTCTGTTTCTCTCTCTCAGCCTAAAACTCCGATATCGGGGAAGGGGGGTGGGGGTGCAGATGCAGTACAGGTTTGAGTCCTGGCTGCTTTCTCTCTAACATTCTGCCTTCAAATAAGTAAATATTTTTAAATGCTAAAATAAAGAAAGGAAGGGAGGAAGAAAGAAAAAAAGAAAAAGAAAACCGCAAAACATCTCCACAGGGCCCAGGTAGATGACTTTAAATATTCCAGTTTTAGCCGGGGGAGAGCAAGGGGCCACGCAGGACTGGCCTGATGTGCGAGTCAGGGGAGGACTGCCTGAGCCTGTGGGAACCGTAAGCTCTAAGCAGGGCTGTGCTGCGAGATACCGACTGGTGGAAGAGCCATGGTTTGTGCCAGGAGACCCACATTGTGTAGATGTGAGGGGTTCCAGGGAAGGGATCCTGAGGAAGTATATTTGAGGATGAGGTACTGAGAAGCCAAAATCCACACAGATCAACAACCAGTAAGAAATGAACTCCATTGCTAAAATTCTGGGTGCCAAGAAGCCACATGGGACCAGATTATATAGGACAAAAAACAGCTTTCGAACACCAAAGCCCCCAGGGTCAGAAAATAGTCAGCAGCAAAGTAACTCAAGCTGAAGTTCTTGTCCATCCCTAGTATCAGACTCAGAAGAGTGGGAAGGAAAAGACCCTGGGATTGGAGTGAACAGGACTAAGAGGTTCCCATCAGGAAAGGAGAAGTATTTGAGTCACAAGATGCCAGGAAAATAGACAACAAACACATTGGGAGCCTTGGTTCATGATGGATTCACATTTCAGAATCCAGGGGTTTTGATCCTGTCATCACTGAGCAGCTAGCTCTGGATGAGGGAGAAGTATGTTACATTAGGAGTCAAGACATGCACTAAATCTTTGAAGTGTGATCTTGGCCATGTGACTGGGTTTCAGTTGCCTCTTCCATGTGATGCAATGGATGATACACATTCAGCCATTCACTAAATAGGTGTCAGAATCAAAAGATGTTAACACAAAGGAAAGAACCTACGAGGGGGAAAAAGCAGCAGGTTTATTATTCTTCCTTTTTTTTTTTTTTTTGGAAAGCCTATTTACATCTGCCTCTGGCTAAATTAGCCCTCAAATGTATTCATTCATCTAGGAAATAATTAAGAGCTGACCATCTGCTGAAAAC